CTTGCCCATACCATTTTGAGTGCAGGAGATCCAGTTTGTGATTCAGGGAACTTGATTCTAGGTGTAGGAGAGAGAAATACTTGATTCCACCATCTTCTTACAATGTTTGTTTCCATGCATACCGGAGAATGGTGGTGCGTTGCACACTCGGTAAATAGATTGTTACATACTTGGCCAATACCTTGTAGCAATTGAATTTTAGCTACGGTCATAGAAACCGTGGCTAAAACAGGGGATATAACCACGAACAATTTCAATTTCATGTTTCTGGAAAAAGAGTTTAGCTTTAGCTATGGATAGTTTGTCCGTGGTTAAAAACTATTCAAATCATTGGTAGTTAAAAGATATTTGTTGCTAAGTTACAAAAGTAGAAGTTGGTCATTTCGTCCGCTCTCTGTCCATGGTTAAAAGCTATTTATCACTATAGTCATAAAATTTTAATTATTAGTGGCTATAACTACGAAGTTAATTGTCTTTAGCTATGGCCATTTTATTCCAATCTATTTAATGTAATCCATTGAAAATTAATTATTAACAATCATATTATATTAATTAAAAATATTTATTATTTATTTATTACTATTTATATTAAATTAATAATTATGAATTTATCAAAGTAAATAAATAAAATTAATAATTAACAAATTATTAGCTCATTAATATTGAATAACAACAATAATAATAATTAATGTGATTGCTTTTTAATGATAATTAAACTAGCAAAAAAATATTAAGAATTTCATAAGTACATTAACAAAAAGATAATAATTTCTAAAAAAGAAATAAATAAATATTATCTATTATTTAGTTAATTAAAATTAATCATCAAAAAATAATTTAATTATTTAAATAAATTAATAATAAATAAAAAACGATAAATCAAATATGACTAACCACTAATAATTAATTAATTATTAATGAAAAATAACATTGATATTTAAACTAAATGATTTACTTTGGTAAAAAAGTTATTAATAAAGTAATAGTTATAAAATATAGATAAATAACTATTAATTATTATTTAATTAATTAAATAATTAAAAGATGAAATGTAAAAATAAAACATATTATTTTTACTATATATAATAAAACAAATATACACACTAAACAATGTTTAGGAAGTTGGACCAGTTATTAGATAGGCCAATCAAACTATCGTTAAACCATAACCCAGCCCTTTGCCAATTCGATCATACCCCTAACCTTGCTTTCTCCAAAAATATTAGCTAAAACTATCCACCTAACTGGTCCAACCCATGAACCAATGAACCAGTCTTTGCTTTGTGTAACCATTCGATTTTGGTTTTTTAAATGATGTCATTTTTTAATTTACCATATATGTAAACTTTTGGAGGCTATAACATTGTATTTGGCTATCCTATTAGGGTGATCTTTTTCTTGTTTTTCTTATTTTTGATAAATTTTTGCTATCTACATGTCCCAAAGTGTTGAAGGCACTTACTCTGCTATTTTTGCCAAAAAAAAAAAAAACAAGGGTGATCGTTTTAGCTAGTTGGAAAATTCTACGATTGGACCTAAGTGTTGTGTTAAGGCCCTAACTAGGGCTACATTGCAACTAAGTTGGATCAGATCTGATTCAAACCCAATTCCAATTTGATAAGAGCTAGATTCAGATACCACCGTTGATCCTAACAATTCAGATCATATTGGGAAAGTTGACCCATTTAGTTGACGAATCAAATTCAAATATACCTTGATCCAATCCTTTAGTTATGAAATATTATATATTATATATGTATATTCTATATATATGTTTTATATATTATTCATATAATTATATGTTATATATTATGTATAATAATATTATAATATATTATTCATATTATATCATTATTTTTACTACAATTCTAATTGAATCAGATATCTAACATGATATTAAAATTCAAATTCGAATCATACTCTTGAAAATCAGATGGATTCTTATCGGATTCGGATTGGTCGGATTTCTTACCAGATCATATCAGATCAGATATACCTTTTAACAAATCTGATTTGATCTGTTTGCAGCCCTAATTGGGGCTCAAGCCCTCATCAAAACCACAAATTTTAGGGCCAAGCCTAGGCCTACTTTAAGCTTGCCTTGGGCCCAACTTAACCTGCATATATTTAAATATATGTATATTGTGGGTAATATTTATGTTATTTTATATTACATATAAATATAAATGGCCCAGGCAAGGCCCTGTCTTACATGTTTCATACCCAAAACCTGGCCTGACCTTAAGCCATAGCCCTTAATTATCACAGGTGTAAAACATGACTAGGCACGGTCCATCATCACCTATCTATAGTGCAAAAGTTTCCGTCTCAAAACCCCTTCGAATTTCCTCCCTCCCCTTCTATCTCACTCTATCATGTGGTATCTTGAAACCCTTTGAATTTCACCTATAGCCTGCAACACCTTCCACTCTTTCACTCATGAACCCTAAGGTCCTAGTTTTACAAAAGCAGCCTTATTTTTTTGAAAATATTTTTAGTATATAAATATAAACTTCTAGGTGCCATAACTTTGTGTTTGGATGTCCGATTAAGGTGATCTTTTTTTTTTGGCTTATTAAAATTTAAAATCAAATTTAACTATAATTTAACATGCACTTAAATCCTATTTAAAAATTATTACATTAATAAAATCTACATTATAATTAAAACTAATTGATGATAAAAATTAAAATCCATTTTATATAAATATAAGTTGATTAATAAATTTGTTAAATATTAATTAATATAATAATATAAACTTTAATTTATAATTAATTACTAACATTTCACAATAAAACTTTATAATTGATAAATTAAAATCTAAAATCAAATTTAACTATAATTTAATATCCACTCAAATTCTATTTAAAAATGAATGTTTGATAAACCAGATGTAAGATTATTAATTAACTAATAAGAAGTTTTTCTCGTTAAAACAAAATCTCCCGCCTATCCCTCTCTTTTGAATCCTCTATCTATCCGTTTCATTGAAATAAAGCAACAACCCTTCACATTCCCTTTCAATATGCAACGAAAGGGAAATGACTCTCCCTCCAATCGAAACCATTTTGAGTTTTCAAAAGAAATGACTCTTCCTCTTCTAATTAAAGTTCTATGCTATAGATTTTCTTTTGCCAAAAATCAAAATATGCAGGAATAAGAAGCAAATTTTCCATTACAAAAAGAATAAAATTTTCCCTCAACAGATGTATTTTCATTTTGATTGAGAAGGATATCTGGCCCATTGTTGTGTTTGGACTGAAGAAGTAGGGTTTTTGCTTTTCGATGAGAAGGAGACTCCATTGTTGCATTTGGATGGAGAAAACACATGGTTTGTTGAATCTTAATCATTTTTCCATACTGCTCAAATCATCTGTATCTATGCTCTCTTTACACTTTAGAGTTTAGGCTCAGTCTGGGAGGAGTACAAATACAAATATGTAGAGTGCAAAACCTTATATTTTGTATTATTTTATATGTATTTGCACTGTACATATTTGCATTTATATTTCTTTCAAACTGAGCATTAGTTTTTGGGCTCTAATGTGGTTTCTGATTTTTGAACGAGCTGAGATTAATCTACACTCTCTATCTGTCGCTTTACTTGTCCTGAGTTAAATGATGAGTCCTTGCAAGTTCTATCCATTTATTTTATCAAGAAATTCTAATCAGATTGGTTGTTTTTGTCTTATGAAAAAATTTAATATGCAAAATCTGCAACTTGGGTTAATTAGAAATATAGGGGGCGTTTTTTTTTGGGATTTTAAGAGGGGGAAGACAAAGAGAAGAAGGTGGTTTTGCTTTTGTCGCAACTTCATCTAGAGGAAGCTGGTGCAAGGGAAGTTTTGAAAAGGGGTATCAATGGGGCCCTAAAGGGCACAGATCGGGGCTTCCGGATGTCTGGTGGCCATCTCAATCACCATACACCCGTTGTAACATATCAACCAATTTTCTTTTATGTACTGTTTTAGCAATGGATAGCCTAATGCCCGTTGCAAGAGATTAAGATTGTAGCAATGATATCTCTAGCAACGGTGGAACCTATTGCCACTGTTGCTAGAACTTATTGCCATGGTGGAAGAAGCATTGGTTTTGAATCCGTTAGTTAGAAGTAAATCTCTTGTAGTGTTAACTAATACAAATGCATCAAGCCAAGACGTTGAGACTGCAACAGAGATTAACTTGGGAATTGCAATCTTAAGGAAATGCTGGATACCACAGTAAATGCAAAGTTAATGGATAGGGACCATCAAGAAGTGGGAAAATCTGTAACATCAAAAAATAGTAAAAAAACAAGAAAAAAAATCTAATCATACAAGGAGAAAATAATACATATTAGAAGAAAAAAGTAGTTAGTAAACTGCCACCCACCGTTTGGATCAATCAAGTTGATGATTCAATTGTTTGAGTCACGGGATCTAGTCTGACCAAGCTAATAGTTTTCTTCTTCCTTTTTTCTTAAATTAAAGGTAGATCAGGGGTTAACCTGAGCTAGTATTATAACCAAGTGATGGATCAACGTAGGAGTGTTCATTCGGTCGGTTTGGTTTGGCTCGATTCAGAAATAGAATCTAATTGACATTTCAGTTAGGCCATTTTCAAAAATCAAACCAAACCGAATTAGACTTAAAACTGAATCGAACTGTACCGAATTCAAATTGGTTTGGTTCGGTTTTAAATCGGTTAATTTGGTTAGTTAAATATAAATGCATTTTATATTTATATTATTAAAATATATCAACATTTATAATTGAAATACATATTATATATTATTATTATTATTAATAATATAAATATTAATGTTAATATTTATAATTTAAATATAAATATATGTATTTATTTTGACTATTTTGGTTTGGCTCGGTTTTTAGTTTGACAACCGAATTTGAACACCTCTAGGTCAAATTATCCAACTGCCTAGGTTAATGACGGATAAAAACACTACACACAACTATACATGATGACAGTTACAAAATAAATTGTAAATTCACATTATCAAATACTAGTAAGTGTGCACGTGCAAGGAGGTTGTCATGGTAATGATTAAAGTATGAAAAATTAAAAGGAGTCTCGAATCCCATATTATGTGGCAGCTACATTTTTCTCTTTGTATGCAGGTTTGAATACCCAAGCACCAGCCATGCATCCCTGCATCTTCAAGGTCCTACAAAGGAAACATGTTAAAGAACAAGAACAGGACCTGTTAGGAGTACCCCCTCTAAGAAGATCACCATCACGGAGGTGAAGGTGCCAGTCGTCAGGTTGTGTTATTGTCAACTCCATTCTTACTTCTCTGCTTTTTAAAGCACATGGCCCTTCAACCTTTTGAAAATAAAAATCTGATGCCTAGAATCCAACAAATATCAGAAGTTAGAAAAAAATTACTAATTCCTATGATTAAACTTAACAACAAATAAAAGAAACATCATAAAAGTCAAATGCAAAACCCTAATTAAACTTTGAAGTCAATACCAAATCTTGCAAAAAGGTGAATTGATAACAATGTTTAAAAACACAAGACATGAGGCCAGATGCCAAGACCTTTAGACATGTAAGGGATAAGCCTCAAAATGTAAGGCTTAAGCTTCATGGGTTGTTGAATTTTAAGAATGAGAATCACTCAGATAAGATGCCTCTATGGTTTTTACTGTTGTTTCTTTGAATGAGAATCACTCAGATAAGGACCATCATGTTGTTAGTGTGGTATGCTTCTTGACAATGTAGGCCCTTCTTTCCTATAAACACAAGAAGTTGGTGATTGTAATGGAAATAATACATTATTGATTTGGTCTGCAATAAAGGAAATCAGAATCATGCCTATGAATAGGAAGTGTGATATGATGTTATGACAAATGGTCATTATACCATGCTTGGAGGCCACCATGATCAAACAAAAAAGGACACAATATAATAGATGACATGAATCAAATGCAGTCCCATACTTCTATTAATCAATATAACCAAAACCAGGAAACCTTATTTACATTTTTTTTCTTGTGAATATAGTCCCTAAAGAACATCACAGATCATCCAATGTTGAGATTTAGCTTGCACAAAATAGAAGAAAAAATAAAGTAAAATATTTCTATACATGGTGCCCTTGACAATGAAACAGATAAGAAAAGTGTTAATTTCTCAAACATCGTTACTACAAGTACTTGATCCAAAAGAAGAATTAGATGAATAAACTATGAAGATAACGCATACCTTGCAAGGAAGTGTTAGAGACTTCATCATTCTAGATATTGTTCTGCAATCCAAAGCTTATCTTGAATAAAATGAAGGATTTCTCTATTCAAAAAGTATACCTCTAGTCATGAAAAACTTACTCCATGTCTCCAATAAACCACTTCCCCTTGAAATCATGTGCTCACTATCCTAATATACCGCATTCTAACTTTAAAAAAAATTGTCATCATCTCATGATATACAATAGTGGGACAAACAAGACAAACCATAGCAGTTTCTATGAAATACTAAAGCACATGGGCTCTTATAAAAAATTAACAATGGCTTCCACGAATAACCAGTTATTTACTAGAAAAAAAAATCAAAAGGTCATATTGAGTTTTCAAATGTTATAGCCATGTGCTCGAATTACTGGTAGAAGTCTCAAAACATAAATTACAATTTACAAGAAAGAAAGAAGAATCAAGGAAAGATTAATTACTGCACCTTACTTGGAGCCTCTTTAGTTAATAAAACCCAAATAAGACCTTCATTGTTGAAGAAAAACAATGTGATGGATGAATTGGTGACACTCTTCTATGTGTTTTGATTTTTTAGTAGAGTCATATTCAATGTAGTGATTGTGATCCTCTCTCAAACAGATGGTACTCGCATATATAACAACAACAGATATCTTATCCAGGAATCACCTTAATCAGAAAGACTGAACACAAAAAACAATAGAAGAATTCACTCTGAGTAATGAGTGATGATGATTGATTCCAACTTCCCAAAACACACATCATGCTTTTCAAACCATGCATGATGAAATTGGCAATGAAGCTATTAATAAAAAAAAATATCTCCATTAACAAGTTGAATGAAAATTACATAAATTGATTAGCACGAAATGGTACCTAAGAAAGGTCTAAGCTTCTTCAATAGGAGAAAGAAATTAGCTTCCTAGCAAAAATGTCGGGCCTCATTCACTCTGCATCAGCTTCTCACTATGGCCTTCCACAGCAATGCAACGGAGGGTTAGCTGAAGTGACCATGAATTCTTATAAAAAAAAGAAAAAAAGAAAAAAAGAAGTGAACACGAATCGGTGGCCTAACTCTTAAATGTGTAGTAACACTACCGGTGGGAATGGTTGCTACCAGCTTCACAGATCCGACGATTCTAGAAGAACGAACAGTTGTGGCATTTTCGTTCCCTCGGTCACTCCACAACAAGGAAGGTCCATTTTCCTTTAATTTTGATTCCTTCACTCTGTTTCTTTCGGAAGAACTCTTTACATATAATTATCTAGAGAAAATTATTCGCCGATTTAATAAATAGTGAATCACTTACATCTCTACAAAGCTGGATTTTTTAGCAGTCATGAAAGTGATAACTGATGACGCTAAGGGATAATAGAATTCCTTTACATTTTGTTTGCGTACTCACTTTCTTGACAAAGCTATTGTCATCATCTTCGATAACCATCTGAATGGGTGAGTCACCGAGGCCATCGGCGATGGCGAGCATTATCTTTTTCGTCTCAAACCTGAACTCGTCACCATCGATGGTTCTGTTGCGGTCGCAGTCGAACTTCTTGAAGATGGCATCATAGAGTTGGGTGAGATTGCCAGGTTAGGAGGCCATGTCGGTTCCGAAATGGGTCTCGATGAGTCAGAGGGATTCGAAAGCCTTGCGCAGCTCTGACCTGCAGAGGACACCGTCGTCGATGAGGTCTAAGGAGGCGAACCGCTCATCCACACTCTTATTGAATATCTCCTCCTCGTTCACGAAGGGTCGAACAGTCGGCCCATCTATTATCACAATTCCCAGCGTTCTCTCTTGCTTTCAAGTTTTAGCATTGAAAGCCCACAGCACCCAGAAAGCAACCCAGACCCAGTTGGTTTTAGTCTTGTGCTTGAGCATTTTGGTTGTTAGTTTGTTGTTGGGATGCTTATCTTTGGAAAGTTGAAATTCGGCATTCAGGCCAACTTAACATTACAGAAAGGTTGAAGACTGAAGAGAAGAGTTCGTTGGAGATAGAACCGTTGTTTTGGGATTCCTATTACGGTGGGAGTCAATTACATATATGCCCTTTGTACGCATAGACAGGTGAGGGTATAACCTGTCCAATGAAAATTCCACAAACTGAGGCTATTCGCTTCTTTTAGAAGTAGCCTCAGTTTATGGGTAGTATCTATCTATCTATATCTATACTATCTATAAAAAAGCAAATGCCACTTTTTTCTAGATTTTTCACAAACTGTTGACTTATAACATTTCATAAAATACCCACTTATAATCATTCATAAACTGCCTAAGAATTATAAATAGTTTTATCTTACAGATACTGTAACGTGCAAATGCAGTTACACGTTTACAAAGACAATAGAAAGAGGAAAGAAGGAAAGAAAGATGAAATCTACAGAAAATGAAAATAAAATGACTTATAAACATTGAAAAACTGAAATGGTCAATAGTTAGAATGTCCAGATCAAGCGTAAAGGGCTTTTAATGAAAATTCATATTCCTCTGCAACTAATTAGCTGAAGAATCCTCCTCCCACCCATTGATCTCTCTGTTGATGCTAAAGACTTTTGTACCACTGACTGGAAATAGGAACATGACATTTCATTCGCTAAATCTTTTTTTCTTTTCCAAGTAGACACATGATAAGGTGGAATAAACGTTTGAACCCGATAGAGGACAGATGTAAACCTTGAGGCTCAGTTTGGATGGAGTACAAATACAAATATGTGGAGTGCAAAACCTTATATTTTGTATTTTGTATGTATTTGCACTGTGCATATATATTTGTATTTGTACTTCCAAACTAAGCCTGAGGGTTTTAGCTTCAGGTACTGCAGAATGGAAAGTAGGTACCATATAAGTTGTTGACTATCCACATACAAGCACAAGCAGTAGTCCATATCCTAGCTATTTTATAATGCAAAGTCTAAGTTGTGGTTTTCTCTGCCAATGTCAAAAAAAAGTGCTGTTTCTTCATCCTTCATCTATCACATTCTAATAGCCAAAATGAAACTAGTGCAAGCACAATGGATAATGAAGTGAAACACTCATCTGATTGCTAATATTAATTCAAGATTAGTACTTTGACTTCAACATTTTTATGTTTTGGATTTGGTTATAAACAAATGAGACTTTACAACCAATGCTGTATAACATAAATAGCAGATCAAACCAAATTTGATAACAAAATATTTTCCACACAAGAAGGGTACATATCTGAGACATTGATCCCGGTCGTTCATTAGACCAGGCAATCGTCTTGTTCACCGTCCCTTAATTGAAATTGCCCACAGGCCAAAACAATGGAAATGAGCTCTATTTTGTGCTGTAATTTAGAGGGGAGAACAAGACTGCAGTAGGGCTCAATAGTTGAAGAACTTACTCTTGAAACTCTATTTCATGTATAACCAACTCTTTTTGAGATCTAGGAATCAAATAGCCTTGAGTTAGTGCATCAGCACCAGCATCAGAATTCAAATGACTGGAGATTATTAGCCATGTAGAGTTCTGATATACCATGGTTTCTCATACCTCCATCACTGCTGATATCTGATATGCTGCCCTGGACATGAGATGGACTACGTATAAGTTGGGCCTGTGTCTTAAGAACTCCATCAAAACCATGATGAAGTGGAATAGGAAACCTGGCTCCAAATCTTGAAACTGGATTTAACTTGTTTTGGCCAATATGATCAATATCTTGATCAGAAGCTATCTGAGCAGTATGTCCAGAATTTTCTGGCTGGAACCCCAATGAACTTCTAGAATGTATGCTTGAATCATGTGGTGTCCACCTTTTATTTCCAGTATTCACACCAACTTTATTCCCAGCCACTATTGGTTGAAAATAGTTAGATGAAGAATTGAAGTTCTGGTTTTCATCATATGCAGCAGGCAGGGAAGTAGGTAGAATGAAGTTCTTAGAAGCATCCTGATCAGGACTAACCAATAAAGAGGTTTGTTTAACAGATGGCACAAACTTCTTTCTCTTTGTTTCCAATGCTTTGACAGATTCAACAGGTTTGTGGAAGTACTGATTTTCAAGGACATCATAGCCTTCACGAGAACCAATAGTCCATTTTCGCTTTACAGACCCCACCAAGGTTTCCCATTTGCAAGCTTGAGCCTCTGATCCTGACTCAGAGCTGTTCTGAGACTGTACTTTGATCATATCCTGTTGATGATTTCCTGCTATGGCATTTCGCTCTTGAACATCATCATCATCAGCCATGACCTTTATTATCTCCTCTCTCATCCATGAAAGCATGTTCTCTCTGGCAACTTTCAACTCCTCTATTATGGATTTCATGAAAGCATGAGTATCACTGAGTGTGGTTGTCTCTTGCTCAATGCTGTTGTTCTTTCTATGGTCTTCCTCACAAAATTTCCCCCTCATCTCCCTGTATACTGAATCACGTCCCTTCTTGTTCAATCCGGTATGCATTTTATTAGCTATCTTAGCTTTAAAATCAACCCCTGTACCAGAATAATGTCTTCCCTTCAGTTGGCAGCCGGTGATTTCACCTAATTCATTGGGTTTGGGCAAAATCCAATCAGAAATCAATCTGTGCTTCTTGAAAACTGGTTCATCATCAGTAGAACTTGGCTCAACTTCATCATCAGAAGAATCAAACTGGCTGCCTCTTTTCCTGAATTGCCACTTTTGCTGAAATTTCTGGCTCTGACCCCTTATAGAAAGGAAGTAATTCTATAAATGATGTAGCGTGCTAACTTGGAATTATGCACGAGCAACCATCAGGAACACCTTGATATACACTTGCAACAAGCATTCAACCTCCCGGAGACTCTGAACAAAGACAGCTAGATCTACCTAGTGCTGGTGATTCAACAGGTTGCTTGAAACAGGAAACGCTCTGGATTGAAAAAATACCACTTGGCTTTTCCTTCAAACTCGTTGGGGTGGGAAAACAGTCCATAAAGCTTGCAATAGGGCCCTTTCTCCCAATAGACTAAATCTGTGGATGTAAATATGAGACAATTAACTTTGGCATTTTTCCTGTTTCCATCTACCACATTGAAAAAAAAGAAAAAAAAATCAGAAAATGAAAAACAAATCATATAATAGAACATAGAAGAAGAATTAACTTTAGAAAGACAAAAAAGAGGAAAAAGAAACAGAGAAAAGAATATAAGAACAGCAAGGTTCCAATATTTATAGGCAAAATCATAAATCATTTAAAAGAAACGCACAGAATTAATTTGTCCAATACCCAGGAATTTCAATTCTGTAATCCAACCAAAAAAATATTGGAATCTGAAAACTAATACAAGCATACAACATCTCCTTCTCTTCTACAAATAACCAAGATTATCAATTGGACCTAAAGTACAAATAGCAGTGCATAATAAAAAAAAAGTGAAAAGACAGATGGGAAACGAAGAGAAACGACTTATTCCCTGAAAATCCAGAAACAACCGACCCACATAATAACAATCAATCAAGCTGTAAGGATGGATTTTGAAATGAAAAAGAAACCAAAACAAGAATAGAAGAAGCATGCTGCCAAATGGAAACAACATACATTAAATCAGCTCTGCTCAGAAAGGACGAAACATCAAACGATCAAACCTCACTGAGACGAAGTCATATAATCAGAAACAAGAACAGAGCACAGGGTCCTTTCCTTCTTTATATGTATTTGAATACAAACTACTAACCCCATCTCTAATGATAGAAGATTCGCAGAAGAGATCTCATCTCCTTCCCCTTTCCCCATTCTCTGAAGCCTCCTGTCTCTCTATCCTCTATTTCATAACGTTCTCAAGTTATAGAGATTTGATTCTATCAGTAGTTTTTCTTAGATGTAACATTCTATCAGTAGTTTCGGTTGATGTGATAATAGATTTAAGAGGTTTTATTTCTTGGTAAAGACAGTGTACAGTAGAGTTTGAAAGCGGACATACACACATCATCCACCCTCTTTTGTATATATTCATAGAAAGAATCTGTCCTTTTACTTTTCTTTGCGACGTCAAATTTCTAACTACCATATATATATATATATCAAAATATATTTAAAACATTATTTATTGTTATGATTACCTTTAATTCTTTGTTATAACCCGCTTCATGAATCCACTTGGAATTAAGTTTGAGAAAAATCCAAAGACAAATTTGGTGGAATGGTGGTATGGATTCGATCCATATTCAGCTTATGGGTCCAAATCGAATATAAAGGGTTATGTATTTTGGGGATTTTCTCTCTTATATACTTAGTCTTTGTCTTGTGAGAAGAGATGGAAGACTTTGGGTATATTTAGGGTCTAGGGTTTTCTATGAGTGAGGTTGTGAGTGCATAGCTCTGCATTCCTCTCCATTATAAATTACATAGTGGATTTCTACTCCTTCGCTCGTGGACATAGGCTATAAGCCAAATCATGTAAATTTGTGTGTTCTCTTTGCATGTTTCTCTTTATCTTTCTTTTTCTTTTGTCTTTTATGTATTTTTAGATTTTGCACAACATTTATATTTTAAAATTTTTTATTATAAGTAAATATTTTTTCAAAAAAATATTGTTCATTAAAAAATTCTGGGGATTCGCATCCCCATGGAAAACCCGTCCCCATTGAGGATAATTTTTATTCCCAACAAGGATAGGGTTTGGGGTCGGAGACGGGGAATATGATCCCTACCCCGTTTCCATATTCCTAAATAGGAGGGGAAAAATTGATCAACTGAGAAGTGATTCTCATTGACCAACTTTGTAGTGTCTTTTCTTTTTTTTTTGGTAAATTCTTCTAACATTAGCTTTTTATGGATAAAAAATTCATTATATAACCTACCTCAAAATCAAAAGAACAAGAGTATATGAACTTACCCAAATAAGTGTTTCCCAATAAACATTTACTTGGATGAGTGCACTTACCCGAGTAAATTACCTTTTGAAGAAAAGGCCAATAACCATGCAAAAAGAAGAAAAAAAAAATCACTATAACCAAAAGTTGTTGTAGCATTTCATAAATGGGCATCACCTAAAATACCTTTGCTCACTTGACACATTGAGTTAAAGTGTAGAGCATATTTTTTTAAGGAATGCCCTAGAATAATTATAAAGACAAACCAAAATCTATGACCATTAAAGTTGGGCAAAAATTTCAGTACGGACAAACAATTGCCAACTTGACATAACCCTCTTTCATCTGGACTTGAGACCCCTCTTATGTCTTTTACTTTTATTTACTTTTCATATAATTTAACACCATAACCAAGGGTTTCAGCACCACCTTTTGGGGATCACCTAACATACCCTTGCTGACTTGATTGATACATTAAGGTGTAGTGCATATTTTCTAATGACTGAGTTAGGAAGAAGTACAGATACAAATATACACACAAAATACAAGGTTTAGCACTCTACATATTTGTATTTATACTCTTTTCAAACTGATCCCAAGGAATCCATGACTGTTTGGCAAAAATTCTAGTATATCGATAAACAATTATCAAACTGACATGGTCCTCCTCCTTTATCCCGACTTGGACAAATACACCCTTACTATTCCTTTTACTTTTATTTATTTTTCATATAATTTAACACTATAACCAAGGGTTGTTGTAACACCTTGTTTCTAGGGATAACTAAATATATCCTTGCTGATTAGTGCATCTTTCCTAATTAAGGAATACCTTAATATATATTAGTGCAAAGACAAATCAGAATCCATAATGATTAGAAGTAGGCAAAAATTTTAATATTGACAAACAACTTCTGACATAAGGCCCTCCTCTTCTTATCTGGACTAGGGACCAATATACCCCTCCTATATCTTTTATTTCTATTTATTTTCCATATTTTATCTATTGATTGTTCTAATCCAACTTCCATTTGGATGTACAATTAATACATACCAACAATACTTGGCAAAAGCATTTAAAATAATGGAGGAAAGGACATCAAAGGCCATTACATTTGATTGGTGGAAGTTTTGGCTTATGTGCCCTTAGATTTGATCTTAACTGCTAGAAGGATAACAAGTGGCTTGCTAATACAGAGAACAGACAACAAGAGTGAAAGGCCATGGTCCCATGGCTGAGAAATGGGAACTTTGGATTCAAAGTTCCAACCAACAACCATCTGGGGCAACTCAAGGACAACTTATAAATGTGTTTGACCACCTTTTCACATTATTTTTGCAGCCACAAACAGTTCTTCGGCATCTCTATTAATTAGTCTACAGAGAGAGAAGCTGGCTTAGAAATCAATCAGTAGGGATTTGGAATGCAACAGAGAGTCTAATAAAGCATGTTCTTATCATAAATTCTTTTCAAACAGCCTCAATTAATCTGTATCTGCACTGCCGTTGGAAACAAGGTAATGGGTTTTATTCCTTTTTCACTTTTGTTAAAGAAAAAAGCAATGTGTAAGGTCCAAACCCTGTAATATTATTTACTTAGAGATCTTGTACAAGCTTCTTCAGTACTGTATAATCAGACGAACCGAGGTCGTCATCAACAGCTTATTCCACCAGACATGTCATGTGGCAAAAGAAAGACAAGGATGGTTGAAGAACCTTACAGAGAATAAATCTTTCCAAGTTATTCTCACATAACCCTCTCTTTCAGCATGTTTCAAACCATTAATCTACATGTCTGTGGAAAGAAATTAAAGAATTCCTTTTCTACATATAAACCTGAAATTTTTGAAAATTCAGTCCACTTTATATTGAATTAGGCAGGTGAGAAGGATTAGTAGAGCATGATTTTACTAGTTATCTCAATACAAATTATCTTTGACACCATCGAAATCATATTCTATGTTCAAATCATCCTCATCATTATCATGGAAATACTGTGAAACCTTATCCTTCTTAACGCGTGTACAGAAGATAAGCTAGCTCATGTACGTAGGACTCTTACTATTGTATATGTTTTTTACCTGTTTACTCTTTATCTTGTAACAGACGAATTCAACATGTCACTTCTATACGAGAATACAATCAATGAAGGAAAGAATTATCTTGGATTTCTCATTCACCAAATTCGTTCATGGTATCAGAGAACCTTTGACCAGCGTCATCTTCTGTAATTCACATCGTCTGATCATCATGTTGACAACCAGCAATGGTTATTCAAATCCTTTGTCCTCGACAGATACCAACCTTGTGGACGGTATCCAATTCGCTCAGCTCATTTCGGTGAAGCTTCATGCTTCAAGTTACATTGTTTGGCGTTTTCAAATTGAAAATGCCCTGCTGATCAGTCATGATCTCCACCTTCGTCCCCTATCCAGCCGTTGTTGCTAGGGCTGCAAGTAGGCCAACCCTAACCCTAACCCTAACCCAACCCGAAATTAACTTCAGGTTGGGCCCAACTCAACCTTTTTCCCATCCCTTAAAATCTCATAGAACTTCTCAATTTTGGAACTTAGCTCAACTTTCAATACACATATTAATCCTATGTTCCATTAGCATTTTTTTTGTTGACATTTTTATTGGTTCTCTTGGTACAAAATTAGGAAAATAAGTGTTTGAAATGACTATAGTTTATTGAGTTATGACTTGGGATAGATCTTTTATGGGCAGCAAACAGATGAAGAATAAAATATTCAAAAAAACATAAAATAGAGTAAAATATAAAAACCCTCCCCAAAAGTTTCTGACAATCATAAAAACATTCCCTATAGTTTCAATATAACAAATACCTCCCTAAACTTTTGATAAACTTAACATAAACCTCCCTTTCATCACTAATCCAGACGGAAAACGTTATTTGATGCATCAATTTCTTTTAATACCAATTTTACCCTTCCATCACTGTCAAACATTATCATCAATAAAAGACACGCCATTCCCTCCCCCTTGGCTAGTGCTCATTTTCATTGCTTTGAACTTTTCCTCACTTCTCTCCCAAGCCTCAACTCTAAACTCCCAACCCAGGAAACAGGGGCAAGACGGGGAGATACAGTATAGCCAAGAAAGTGCGAGATTCCATGCCAGCTCTCTGGACTTCCGACACCTAAAGTTGCAGCTTGCTTAGCAGTCCGTCCCTGAAAGAATGACGGTCTTCGGTCACTCCAGTGGACGTTTTTTTTGCTGGATAGCAAGTCTTTCTGGTTGATTATGAGACAGAGGTCTCTCATCATCTAGTTGAAGCCTCACAATCTAGAGATCTGAAGTCAACATTAGAATGCATCGTTGATGTGAACTTTATTGGTGCCGTTTGCAATTGGTGATGTTTAATTGACTATGGATTTCTCGTATTTTGTTCACTGAGAGAAACCCACCACTATTATGGCCTATAGCACTAAAGCGATCTTGGTCCATGGATTTTTCCCACAACACCGGAGGTGAAGGTGGAGGGGATTCTTCTTCGGTATCATCTTCGTCGTTGCCACCAACACTATCTTCTTCTTCTAGGTCTTAGTATTAATTGCAGAGTAGTTCATGCAAAGCAGCTATGCTAACGAGATCCTTGTCATGACTAAGGATAGGTCACGGGTGCAGAACCAATAAAGTCCTTCGGTGAGTCAGTTTTGATGATTTAACATGTTTTATAGAGGTGGTTGAAGGCTCTTCGTGTACAAATTTAGAGATCTGAATTTTCATTTGCTAATTAAGAAGTTTCTTCTGATGCTGCTGCTTATTCTTTTTAATCTTTGAGATGAATGACAACAACTATGTAATGACAAGATGGGAGAGTGGCCATTACAACATTAATTTCCCCCTTTCGTTGATCTCGTAACCCAGACCTGCCTTGATCTCGCTTTAGAAATCTCTCGAAAGCATATGTGGGTTTGGGTCTGACCTGACCAACGAGAAGGAATAACGCAAAGACGATGGCCCAGCGCCTTTGCTGCATGGGTGGTCAGTGACATTTTCCATCTAGGGTAGTGATAGAAGGGTAAATTTGGTATTTAAAAG